TCCAGGATGCATTTGAAAAGTGGCAGAAACGCTGGGATCGGTGTATGCGCTCCCAAGGGGACTACTTTGAAGGTGATGGTGCAGAATAAGATCTAGGTAAGATGTAGTAGTTTTTATTAATATATTTCGGGAACTTTTGGCTTGCACCACGTATAATGCAAATTAAATTTCAAATTTGGAATTTCTGGTGTCACTGTGTGTTTCCTTACTATGCTTTTGTGCAGGAGCATACGCGGGACAACTCGAAGGAGGCAGAAAGCTTCCGTGAGCACTTGAATACTCGAAGTGCAGAGTATGTGGAGGAGATACTGTCACCTAATTTTGGTGGTATTATGCAATTTGTGAAGGAAGGTGAAGCACTTGTTGAAAAGGGTCAAGCAGACGAATTGAAACACCATGAAAGTAAGTGTTTTTCATTCGTCCCATGTCACTGATATCTGCCATGCGTTTTAATTACTTTGTATGTGGATGCTGCTTATCTGTGATTGCTGTTGTGTGGAGTCCAATAATGACTGTGGGCTTTCCATAAAGGCAGTATCTTTTTTCCTACGCAGAATCAGGAATTGTTCAAAAGATACCCATTCAGGGATTGTCCATGGCAAAGGAGTAGAGGCCATTTAAATCCTCCCAGTGGGTACTGAGGCAGGCATCCCATTGATCCACCAGCTGATATATCCCTTTGAGATAAAACTCCCTGGTCTGCTGCTGGGGAAACACTGAACCACCACAGTCTTGATGACATCATGCAGCCTGAATCTACAGTTCTTTAGCGCTTTCCTGAATGGGGTGAAAACATGAAATTCACGTACTTAACAGGTCCAGGTTATTTGGGGGATAGTCTAGCACAGTGCAGACCATGTGTGGATAGGTGTTGTTATGCAGTGTAATGAGATCCTTTGTGAGTGTACATGGATGCTTTCTCTTGATGGTGGTATGAAGGTCTCAGAGGGTTTCTTCATGAATTTTGGCTGGTTGATAACTCTCAGTACTAGAAAACTGAATGACAGCTCACTGGTCCTCTTTAGGAAGATTCTGAATGTTTTTAACACAGCACTTAACCATATCTCACTGTCCCTACATGCTGACACTTCGTCTGCTGTACAGCGTATGGTTTACTACTGGTCTGTCATGCACACAGCCATGTGGATCATGTATGACTGGCTGAATTTGCTGGCAGCACTGCAAAATGGGTTTCATTTGAACAGTCCTCATTTGAAGAAAATGCCACCTCCATCTTCTTATTTCTCCTAAACGTCAGTTGACTTTCAACGGACTACACAGCCTCATATCCTAGAAGATGGAACTCTTCAATGCCACCACTGTGAAAACCTCAACTCCTACACTATAATGCTTATTTTTGTGTCCTTCTTGGCTGCCTTTACAGCTGCTGCCATCAGGCTGTGACTTCAGAATTTTGTGATTGATGTTGCAGGAAAAGCATTGGCCCTGGTGCAGTCATTCTCTGCGGGGTGGAAGCGGTCACTGGAGGAGCTGAATCGGGAGATTCTGCCATCATTCCCCAGCCTAGTGACAGGATCAACACTGTTGCAGTTAGCACTGACTCAACTGGTGCAATATTATCATCGTTTTCACAAACTGTTGTCACCCAATGCACGTACCCAGCTCACAAATATTCACCATATCATGGTTGAAGTGAAGAAATATAAGACCAGTTTCTGATATGCTTGTTATAGTGAGCAAGCTTAATAATTTCAATAGATGCAAGTTTTCTTTGTGCTTCATGCTTGACTGACTTCACAAGAGAGACAATCTCCTAATTGTGATACACATATGTATGGCTGATTATTTAGGGATTAAAATCTTCACCTGTACATTTTGTGGTGTATATCTATGGGTTAACAAATTTTGGCTCAGTTCATCAGACAGACAGAACTTCTACGAATCAGGCATTTCTCCAGCAGAGAAATTGTGCTTACCCACATCATTATAATTGCCCTGCACTTGGTTACTAATTATTACACTACAAGATATAAAATACCCTTCCTTATATACCACATTTTACAGTTTCCCATTTAAAAATTGAGTGCAGCTAAAATTTGAGGAATGTGAACCTGAGTTTTTTTTCCCCAAAAAATCCACATTCAAAAACTGGATGTGTCTTAAATTCAAGGATGTATTATATTCAGAGCAATAAGGTATATAAGGGGCAGTCAAAAAGTTCCTGGAATGGTGGTATTGCACTGTAATGGTAGGACATATGGCAATGCTTACCTAATCACTTTCAAAGTATGATCCTTGCGCGCGCGCACACACACACACACACACACACTTTCTCTCTCTCGCTCCATCGATCCTGCCATTGTTGGAAGCACCAGTGGAGGGCTTCATTTGGAGTATTCTGGAGTTCAGTCGTCACATCTGATTTGATGTCCTCCATGGTTGTGAAATGTATTCCCCTTGAGGCCCATTTTCAGAGTATGACAGGAATGTTTTTCTCGGCAAGGAACTGCTGCGCAACAAGTGATGTATGGCTCAGTGCGTTATCGTGATGCAGAAACCACTGTCCCTGCATCGCGTAACCTCTGCAAAACTTGCATGTAGAGATGACCAGTAACACACTCTGTGTGCCAAACCACTGTACGATGGGGTACCCAAAAGAAACCAAACTAATTTTTTTGTGGGCAGAGCTTTTGTAGTACCGTGTTTTGCCACTATGAGCGCATAGAGCTAACATTCCTGAGTCGATAAGCCGACTACCGTTGCTTCAGACGGTAATGACTAGTTTTGGCAGAGTTTATAGTGACAACTGTTTTGTGTGATCGTCATTTTTGCAATGGCTGATTTTTGTGAACAGTGTGCGGCGGTGAAATTCTGCTTTTTGTTCGGGAAAAGTGGAACAGAAACTCTTGAAATGTTAAAAACGGCATACAAGGACAATGCTATGGGGAAAACTCAAGTGTTTGAATGGTTTTCCCGTTTCAAAAATGGTGAAATGTCAATTGATGACAAACCTCGTTCTGGTCATCCTTCCATGGCCCGAACACATGAAAATGTTGAAAAAATTCGTGAAATCATCAAGGAAGATTGATGACAGACCATTGAAGAAATTGTGGAGCTGTCGGGAGTGACTTGGAGCTCAGCGGCCAGATTTGTGGCAGTCGGGTGACTGGTTTTTCCATCATGACAATGCCCCTGCTCACACAGCCCTGTCTGTACGACAATTCTTGACCAAAACTGGTATGACCCCTGTTCCTCACCCTCTATACTCACCCGACCTTGCCCTGTGCGACTTTTTTTTTGTTTCCTCGAATGAAAAGAGACATGAAAGGAAAAAACAACGGAGGCGCTGTCAAGCATCTCAAAAGATGAATTTAGACAATGTTTTGAAAAATGGAATAAAAGACTAGACAAGTGTATTAGTGTAAGTGGAGAGTACTTTGAAGGGGATTGAAGGTTTGTGCTTAAAATTTGAATAAATAAGTTATAAAAAAAAATAAGTTCGGTTTCTTTTGGGTACCCCCTCGTATTCATCTCTTTGTGAACCCTTAACAAATTTTGGATTGCAACCTCTTATCTATGATTTCATGTCAAACTGTCTCTTCTTGGTCTTCCCTCAATAATTCTTAAAAATTTCATATCTACTGCTTGGAATCTACTTTATTTGTTTCCATACTATTAAAAGAGAAGTTGAGGTTCCCATATTTTCTAGACAGTCGGCTCACAGATGGCAGTAAGGTTGTCAGCCTTAAGCACTGGACGCCCTTTACCCCCCAAGAAGATTCCTGGTACTCATTTTTGTTAGAGGCTGAGTAGAGCCATAGTGTAGTGGGAAGGGTTAGGCAAAAAAAAAAAAAAGACACACACCTCGCCAGGACTTGAACCTGCAACCTTCCAGCTTGTAGCATAGTGCCTCAACCAACTATGCTACCCTTTTCATACTGTAGACTTATCAAGTATGTGTGACTTGAAGTCCTCATGATGGCATCCAGATTACAGTCTTCTGGGATGTGACAGTGTACAATTTGATTGGTGCTAGTGTTTTGGAGGAACCTGCTGCCTCCATCTTCAGGCTAGAAAAGTCCTCTTTTATACTGAAGACTGGCAGTAGATTTCTCCAAATTGTTGGCACCTCCTCACCTCACTATACAGCATCTCATCCCAGAGGACCATAGTCTAATGTGTGTAGAAAAGCAAATAAAATTTTCCACACCTCACCAATCTTTATCCCAGGAAAGGTCACTTCTGAGAGACAATGAATAATGGTTCTGCTTATAGTTGCAGAGAGCTCAGTGGGTATCACAGTTTCATCCAGTGCTTTATTATGTTTTTGTCAGTGATGACTGTAGGTGTTCTTGATTAGATATTGATAACAGATTATGAGATGAACAAATAAGATGTACTTGCATTCAGACATACTTTCAGGATCAACTTGATCCCACACTTGCACCTCTATTAACAGTGAACACTCAAAAATATTGCACTGCAATGCAACAAGGAAAAGTACATTTGAAGGAAAATATGATTAATACAGTAACATAAGCAAATGTTGCCAAGGTTATTCTGTCACACATCACAAACTGTCATGAATGTGAAACTGGATAGTTTTTATTTATTTCGACTTGACATAGGGAAACATTAAGTTTTTTTATCATTAAATTTGATCCAGAAGTGAAGATTCTACTACATTGCTTCTGTTGTTCACATCAGCCACTATTTCTGTAATGCATGTGATGTGAGTGTGGGCGGCACGGCTCTAAAATGGCAAGACACAACTCGGACACCTCAACATAAGTACACAGTCACAGAAGCTGAAGTGATAGCTCACAGAGGAGTCTGATGCTTTATAAAAGATAGTGATAGACAAGTTAATCATAATGATGATGATAGTGACAACAGACTTTTATCAGAGAATTCTGAGACTGATTTCTGGTGAGACTTAAAGACTGAAACCTTCACCTCTGTCAAAAATGAAACTTTGGAATTCTGAAAATACCAAGTCCTCCCATAGCCGAGAGACCACATTAAGCTGTAGGTCTGCTCTTTGACCTTCATTCTCATATTTACCCTATCACTGATAACATTTTGCTTACTGGTGTTACCTGAAAAATGGTTTCTATACCTTTGCTTTCACAGAGGTCAGAAAAGACACTCACAATATCTGGTAGCACTAGATGAGCAAAGAAAGGTCAATTGTTATTTGTATGCTGTTTTTCATAGTACAGTGCGTAGAATCAAGTGCGCGCCGTGGCTGCAATTTGCCGTGAGTCATACCACCGCAGAACGGATGCAACTCCTCCCTGCGACTGCAGTGCTCCTACGCCGATGGTTGCATAATCGGAACCCGAGGCTGCATTAAACAGTCGGTCTTTGTCTTGCTGTGGAAGTGGAGTGGAATGTTTACAGCTGTCGACAGATGGTGGAAATGAAGTTCACTATTAAACAGCGTGTGTTTATTGTCGAAACTACTGCAAGGAAAAACATTTACAGAAAATTCGCACATAGGTTTCGTCAGAAATATCCTGACTCGCCAGTTCCCACAAAGTCGTGTGTAAACAGGCTTCTGAAAAAGTGGCGGGCCACAGGTTCAGTGAGTGACAAGAAGAAGCAATCGAAGAGAACTGTGCTGACTGAAGAAAAGGTTAAGGATATTCAGGCAAGATTACAGATCAGTCCTCGAAAATCGTTAAGNAGACAGAATTGTCAGTAGAGGACTGTGGCCTCCCAGATCCCCAGATCTCAGTATTTCTGATTATTATCTTTGGGGCAACCTGAAGCAAAAAGTCTACAAAAATAATCCCCGCAGCATTGATAGTCTTCAAAATGAAATTACACGCGTAATTCATTCAATTACCGTCGACGAACTGCAGAGAGTGTCGCGTAATTTATTTGTGAGATGCGCGGCATGTTTGCAAGCAGAAGGAGGTCACTTTCAGCACCTGTTATAAACCACGGTAAGTTATCTTTTTACTGTATTCTTATAAATGTGTGCATGTAGAGCAACTGATGGACGGAGACTCAGCGACACCACTACACTCACGCTATCGGGGAACGGCACTGCAGTCGCGGGGAGGAGTTGCATCCGTTCTGTGGTGGTATGACTCACGGCAAATTGCAGCCGCGGCGCGCACTTGATTGTACGCACTGTACTTCTCATGTGGTGGAAGAGACAAACTGATAAAGGAATACCACTTAAGTAACTATGAACGACCATTTTCACCACATCCTGTTGTGAGCGTTACTAATGTGTAATTTTTTCTGAAGACTACTGGTCATTTTTAGATCAATATCGTGTACCTTCAGGAGTATTATGGATTTTTCACATCCTTCCACTTCTTATGTTTTATAATTAAATCCCCATAATTATCCCAGGCATAGGAATGTAAATCAGGCAGTTAATTTCATATGACCAGCAGTTAAATAAATGAATGGGAAATAATTTTTCATAAACTGAACATTTGTGTCTGTTTTTATGTAAGAGATAAATCGAATCTATTCATGTTTTTCCACAAGGGATAAATTAGTTGGAGATGCATGGTGTCAGGCACAGGTTTGGAGGTGAGGCATAATAACTCTGAAGAAGAGTTTTGTGAGATTAAGCTGGAAAGTGGTCTTTATGAGTTCTAAATGGACATGAGTGTACATTGTGTCCAAGGTATTAATGTGTAATTATGTGCCATACAGTACCAGCATAGCAGTAATTATGAAATTACATACTACAGGTTTAGTGATGGACATAAACAAGCTGGAGCTCCATGCACTGCCAGTATGCTTGAAAACAGAAAAAGTTTGTATGTCTTGATTCTCAAAGCCCAAGGCAATCAGTCTGGCACTGTATCACTAGCAAAATTTCTCAGAGCCTACCTGTGACAGTTTTCGTTTAGTCATACTAAATGGCCATTGTTAAAAAATTAATGGCAGGCTATAAATCTGTCTAACATTCTGTTGGCGTTTTTCTGAGTTACAGGTGTGCCAGATATTATTGATCATAACACCCAGTTTTATGTCAGAAAAGACATAATAAGCAAAATTACCGTTACTGGCAATTTAACATCCTTATGAACTCCATGAGCTACGACTGTGTTCCCCAAAGGTTACAGCTTGGTGCACTATGTCACTGTTCCATATTCAGGCTCCTTTTTCTTTGAGAATGAAGACTGTGAAACAGTGGTGTTCACAACTGATTGCTACAGAAGAATGACAGGATTTGCATCCACAACTAGAACCAATGGACAACACAGACATCTGGTTCCATTATGGTATGATCATCTGTGTGAAATCTTTTCAACAGTGGATTATCTCCTGCTATGAAGATGTGTTACGACTAGCATTTTAACCCAATTTATTGACAACATATTATTTATGTGGGTACCTATAACTCTATGATATTTGAACCAATTGGAACCATACCACACAAGACCTGAAAAGGTACAATGATGAAGAACTCAGCATTTTCTGAAGGTCAAATTTACATTGTGCCTAGAGGAATACGCTTAAATAGATGGATGATATCTCTTACTTTGTTGTCAAACTGAGGTGGTGAAACTCCCAAATGTGTCTTCAAACATGAATATATGAGGGCTATTCAGAAAGTAACCTCCATTTATTTTAGGCAACTAATGTAGGAAGGGCCGGTCACGGTAGCCGAGCGGTCTAAGGCATGTACTGTCTTTGCTTGCTTGGAAACCAGGATCGTGGGTTTGAATCCCACTCAGGGCATGGATGTTTAGTTTGTGTGTGTGCGTTTTTCTGTGTTTGTGTACAGATAGAGGCCTTGCGACGAGCTGATCACCCGCCTAGGCCCACTGGGGCTGTAGTGCCTAGGAAAAAAAATGTAGGAAGGGGGAGAAGGGCCCTCGCACATGAGGTAGCGTCACGTGACTCACTGCTTTGTACGCCATCACATAACAGGTCACCTAGTGTCTGTTCTAGTCTCTACAGAGTGAGTTATGATGTGTCCTGACATAATCCTGCCAGCTGCAAAACTCGTTCTGTTATCCACTTCCTTCGCCCTAAAAACATAAGCACTGCGGAAATCCATCGTAAATTGTGCACAGCGTTTTACAGCCAAAATGTAATGAGTGAAGAACTATAAGACAATGTTGCAGAATGTTCAAAGATGGGCAAACAAATGTTCATGATGAAGAGCAAAGTGGTTGGCCATCTGTAGTGATTACACTGTCCAAAGTGTTGTCCAAAAAATTTGTGAAAGACAGTGCTTTACAATTTCAGAACTTTCATATGAATATCCACAAATTTCACGCACTCTTCTCTATGGAACTGTCACAGTTAGGCTAGGCTATCATGAGTTTTGTGCAAGGTGGATTCTGAAACTGCTCACAGGTGCCCATAAAACACAGAACGGTTTCCTTCTGCTTTTGACTTTTTAGAGCAACATCACAAAGATGGGGATGAATTTCTCAGTCACATCGTACAAGTAACAGGTGATAAAACCTGGGTTTCATTTGTGAATGCTGAAACCAAAGAGCAGTCAAAGCAGTGCATGCATACACATTGACCAAATAAGCTGAAAAAGATTACACAAACACTGTCTACCAGAAAGCTAATGACTTTTCTGGGACCAGAAAGGGGTGCTGATAGTGGAATTCATGCAACAAGGGACCACAATGGCATAAGTGTATTGTGAAATGCTAGAAATCTGTGTACAGCCATTCAGAACAAAAGGCATGGAATGCTGATATCCAGTGTAGTGCTTCTCCACGACAATACACATTCGCATACAGCTGCTTGCACTCAGGTGCTGCTGGAGCATTTGAACTAGGAGCTGTATAGGCCCACCCTCCTTACAGGCCTGATTTCATTCCAAGGAACTACCAACTCTTTACCTACATGAAGAACTGGGTGGGATCACAGCACTTCAACAATAATGAGTTGATGGAAGGTGTCCAAATGTGGCTCAGCTTGCAGGTGGCAGACTTCTTCAACACAACCAAACAAAAACTCCCTGATATGACAAATGCCTCAATTACAGCGGTGAGTACATTGAGAAGTAGCTTAAGTATGTACATAATTTTTCTATATAAATTATTGTTGTTTGTTTTGTTAACAAATCGACAGAGGTCAGTTTCCAGATAGCCCTTGCAGAAATATTTGCTTACTGTTAGTCATATGACTTAAATCATATATCTGCTTTTCAGAAAACTGATTTATATCAATTTCTGTCTGGGGCACTGCCAACTGTATGGGACATACCACACTATGCACTGGAAGAGATTTCTAAAAACATGTATATTTTTTTTCTCATTTTGAGCAGAAATGTGCAGGTACTTAAAACTAATGTTCCATAAATTCTGAGAGCACTGTACTGAACCATAATGAGATTAAAATAACACAGTATCTGAACTTTAAGCAGCAATTTATTAGGCAAAGATTTGTTGCCATATATGTGGCCAAATTTCAGAATGATCTTGACATACTGTGCAGAGTGGAAAGATACACATAAGGTAGTACAGAAAGAGCATACACAGAAACAAAAGCGCTTATGGGAGTAGTGAGAAGACTGGAGAATACAATGCATGATCTCACACATTCCATCACATCATACATAAATACTGGCACAAACCAGCCCAAGCTTTGGCACCCTGTTACATATGTAAGTAGGTGAATCTGAAAATATTTCTGTCTGGTACTGAAAACATGTTCTACATAATTCACTTTTCAGCTATGGGTGCTGCGAGATCAAGGTGAATATTTACTGCCAATAGAGCATCCACAATCCACTGTGGATATTCTTTGCTTGCATACATGTTAGCCATGAACTTACGGACAAACTCTGGGAAACACTGCTGCTCTATGCTCTTTCGTATCGACTTCATAAGTCGTAGCTGAAAGAACAGAAATTTTTTCCAGTCAACAATTTCCATCATCATACCAGGCATTAGCCATAACATCAACTTTTATTACCCCAGGACTTGCATGCCATAATCTGCTCTAAGTACATTGTATTCATGTACATAGTTTCTACTGAGTTTGATAATTTTGCATAAATATGATGATTGACTGGATATTTACTTATGTAACACATAATTTTAACTTACCTGATATGAAATATTGTGCACAGAAAGCAGATGACAGGAAACAGTTTCATTGGTGACAATTGTATGCAGGTAAGCACGGGTATACCGTTTACAAGTTGAACACTCACATTCTTCATCAATGGGCTGGAAATCCTTGGCATAAATTTTCTGTTTGAGGTTCAACTGTCCGCTGTGGATAAGCGCACATCCAAATCTCTGCCAAGAGATGAGAGAAAACTTGCATATATGAATAATACTAGTTTATTATGTTATATAAAACACATTTATCTGAGAGCTCCATCTCAACTCTGATTAAATATGGAGAGAAAATAGAAAATAAGAACAAGTTAGAAATCTATTCTTGCAGTTAAGCAATTCTTGGACAATTCTGGGCCAAGTGTTATTAAGAGCCAATTCAGTACTTGTTTTTAAAATTTTTAGAAATGACAGGGAGTCATTTCTAGTGAATAGTGAAATGCTACATTTGGAGCATAGCTCTGTATGGGGCTGAAACATGGACACTTAGGGCAGTAGATCAGAAACATCTGGAAAGTTTCGAAATGTGGTGTTGGAGAAGGATGGAGAAGATCAGTTGGACCGATTATGTGAGAAATGAAGAAGTGTTAATTAAGAGTCAGTGAGCAGAGGAATATCCTACACGAAATAAGAAAACGGAAGGCTAATTGGATTGGTCATGTTTTACGCAGAAACTGCCTTCTAAAAGAAGTTACTTAAGGAAAGACAGAGGGGTGGATAGAAGTGACAAGAAGACGTAAGAATATACTGGATGACCTTGGGGACAGAAGAGGATACTGTCATTTGAAGGAGAAAGCTCTAGATCATATTAAGTGGAGGAAATGTATTGGAAGAGACTGTGGACCTGTCGTATGACAGATTACTGATGATGATGATGATGACATGGAATGTTTCACATTATCGTTACAGAATGCTACATCATCTTCACACTTATAGTTTCACTGAATACAAATAACGCAAGAGTGTTCTATTCTCTTCCATAGCTTCTTGAACACAAAGAGTACTGCATCATTAATAAATATCTTCACTGTAACTGCAAGAACATTATTATAAGGGGTGATCTAAGAAATCCAGACTGAATTAATATCTCAGACAGCTCGCACTGATCACAGCAACGTGGTGCTATGAATGAGCTATGAAATTTTACTGCATGTCCAGGCTTGTTTACAGTTCATTACTTTGCTTCAGTAGTTTATGGTCATTGTTTAAAATCTGAGTGCTTTTGCTATGTGTCCATTTAATAGCATCCAGGAGTACAGAACAAAGCTGTGCATTCAACCTTGTGACAAGATTGTAAAGATGATACTAAAATTTATTGTTGAAAATAGCTTTTGGAGAAGTGACAATAGCCCAAGCAAGAGTTTTTCAGTTGTTCTGCTGTTTCAATGAGGGAGGAATATTAGCTGAAAATGCCAAGTGTCCTGAATACCTTCCAACCAGTAGAAACAATGATTTAGTAGTTGAAGTGCACGATTTAGTGCAAAGTGACAGAACATTTACCCTGTGAAATGGATGAAGAGGTAGGAATTTATCATGGATCATGGTACACCTCTACACATCGTCTTATAATGTTAAGAATCGAGATTATAATGTACCACTTTTGACACTTCAGATGGGGAAGAAATGCGCGTCAGTTTTTTATAATGAAACCCCTTGGAAAGTGGAGAATCAAAAAAGTAAGAACCTGACAGATATAAGTTCAGGGTGGAACAAATTGGCTCAGCATCACATCCAGTGGTGGGCTTCAGCAATTATCAGTGTTCAAGCTTCATGTTCCACACTCAAAGAGTGATGCAGTCAGCATATGTTTTACTGTCATACAATTCTTGGGATTCTTTTTATATTAAGACAAGAAAGAACACTTTATATTCAGGAACATAGAAATTATTTTAAAAGACAGAAATACCATAATCTTAGAATATGGGCCTGCCCTGCAATGAGAATTAACACAACTGAAAAATAAAATAAAACCCCGACAATTTAAATAAATGCAGCTTACATAGTGTTTTCCTTTAGAATCTGGTATTTTCAGAATGCAGTTCAAATGAAAAGTCAACTCCTCAGGATTCATTCTTACCGCTGTCCTGGTAGGGAACACACAGTCAAACATATCTACTCCAAGAGCAGAGCACACCACCAGGTCAGGTGCAAAACCAACACCCATCAGATATCGTGGTTTGTCTTCTGGTAGTAAGTCTGTTGTTAGGTGTACCATCTTCCAAAAATCATTCTTGCTCTCACCTCCACTAAAGGGATAATACAAGACAAAACACCATCATGCTTCCAGTTATAACTGGCATGGAAAATAATGCCTACACAGAGATTAATGATGGACAGAAAGAGATCTGAACTTGATACTGTATTTAAATGTTGACTATCAGTGAATTTTTATATTGTTTGTCCTGGGCTGCCATCAATTTTATATGATTTATCCCAGGCCACCATGCTGACATACATTGCTTTTACATTATTGTGGTCTCAGAAGCTGATGACATATGAACTACACATGGACCATAGTGGCCACATTCCCTTACAATTTGCATGAAACCAACAGACACATGGCAGTGGTGTGAAAACATGTCCAAGTATTAGACAGCAGACACTGACATTCTGCAGAAGACACCAGTGACTGTCATGGCAGCAAGGCAATGGATATGCACAGAAACTAATGTCATCCGTCAGTCAATATGCTAAAAAACTATTCCAATATCTGACAGTGCATTAAATAATTATGAAGTAAGGCACTACTGCTCATTCAGTAATATGTTAAGAATTCAGGAGGCTGAGATCTGGAATGTTATTGCACATTTTGAAACTTGTAGGAGCTAAATACAACATTTCATTTTTCTGATAATTTTTGACAAACTCAGGTACACATGTTCAGAATCTCAGCTATGTCCTCAGAATATTAACCATGGAACATACAGAGCACCATCTTAACATGGTGAACACAAGCCAACACACTGTCCATCTCACAATGCGCTCAAGGAAAGTAAAAACAACAGAATCCCCCCCCCCCAAAATAAAACAACTCCTGAAGTAATTTATTAAAGACAAGAGTATAGAGGAATGTCCAGTCTCTAAATCATTCAACTATGTGAATTAATTCAGGAGTCATGTTTTTTAAATGCTCTTCTTCTTAAAATTTCACCATGAACAAGCAACCATGTAGCTGGGGACTAGCCACATCGTATGTTGAAGCTATTCCAACACTTCAGTATATATTACTCTTGGCCATTTTCATGGTGAGTAAGCGAGAAACAGAAGGTGAAGCAATAAATAGGTCTCACACTGAGCACAAAGTCCCTTTCTACTGGAAGCAGCATGCTCCCATTGTGAGACCATATGTCAGTCAATTTCCTCCTTGTACCTCATTCACCCTAAGAACTGTGACTACAATAATCACTGGAACAGCTTCACCAAATGACACAGCTGTATCTCAAAAGGTGAAATTACATGTTTGACACAGGCCACAAAAACCTAAGGACAAAAATCAGATGCTGACCTCATGACATTCAAGGTTTAACCATGTTAATCAAGACAATGCCAGTATTATTTATGGCTCTACAATATCAGGTGTCCGGATGAAAGGTATCCAAAATAAAAAAATTATATCTCGGGAAGTAATTGTCATACAAGTATCCGGTTTATATAATTGGAAAGGAAAACCCTGTAAGTTTTGTTTTTTCCGTGCCTGGCTTATGCATGTGCGCTGCCATATTTCTGCCACCATGTTAGGAATAACTTGGACAGAGTGATGGCTGGTAGATAGATCGGCAGAAGTGGATCAATCACTTGGCATCCTACGTCAGTGGATTTAGCCCCGTTGAATTTTTTCTTGTGGTTATGTGAAGAACACTGTCTACCAGGTTAAGATCAACTACCTGCAACACCTGAAAGCCTGCATAAGGGAACCTGTGGCTACGGTAACATCAAACATGCTGGATTGTCTGGCTATTTGTCATGCCACCAAGGGAGCCCATATTGAAATTTTCAGAAAAAAACTTTGATAGTTTCCCTTTGTAGTGGTGTAACCCATAAATGTGTATAATAAAAGCTTTCTGAGATATAATTATTTTATTTTGGATACCTATCATCCGGACGCCTGCATATACAGTATATTACCTGAGACCACCAATAGCAAATCCTGGAACTTCTCTTTGCATGAGCTGCTTAGCACTTTCACTGCGTAGTGCTACATTCAGCCCACCTTGGACAATAGGAAAGATGTTCTGTGTGTCAGCATTTTGATGGGCTTTCAGGCATCGGTCCAACCATCTTGTGGTGCTATATATGGTTCAGACATATAAAATATCCAAAATTTAAGAAGTACACAAAGAACTGAACACTGCTCCAGTTTACTTGTAATACTCAAATTATCTGGTAAGATAAAAATTAGGACTGTTAACAGTCTGTTCATTCAACATCAATTACCATATATACTTGCCATTATTTTTATTCCAATTACTTTTCTTGCAGGTTCTTAGTACTATATAAGAAACTGACCCACCTCTAGACATTCACTTCTCTAGTTCACAAATGCTTGCTACCATTCAGTCCAGAACCTTTTGTCTTCTCGTCTGCTGCCCAAAAACATAAAAATTAGAATATACAAAACTATAATTTTGCCGGTGGTTCTGTATGGGTGTGAAACTTGGTCTCTGACATTAAGGGAGGAACATAGACTGAGGGTGTTGAGAATATTTGGACCGAAGAGAGATGAAGTGAAAGGAGGTTGCAGAAAACTGCATAATGAGGAGCTTCATAACTTGTACTCTTCTCCAAGTACAATTAGTATGATCAAGTCGAGGAGGATGAGGGGGGCAAGGCATGTAGCATGAATGGCAGAGACAAGGAATGCATATAGGATATTGGTGGGAAAACCAGAAGGAAGGAGACCACAGGGAAGACCAAGGCGTAGGTCGGTGAACAATATTAGAATGAATCTTGGAGAGATATGATGGTATTGATTGGATAGATCTGGCTCAGGATAGGGACCAGTGGAGGGCTCTTGTGAACACGGTGATGAACCTTCGGGTTCCATAAAATGCTGGGAAATTCTTGAGTAGCTGCAGAATTGGCGGCTCCTCCAGAAGGGCTCAGCTCCATGAGTAAGTAAGTAAGTAAGTTCCCATATATATCAGAAAGTTCCTGAACTTTTATTGCTGAAATAAAATGAGAGGAGAGCCCAAGGTCACATTTCTGAAAGCCTACTGCATCAGTCTGCCACATGACACTGCTCTGTGAATACGCATTGTTTTTACATAAGTGCTTTTTTGACTCCATGTTTCATTTTGTCTGCCATGGTTGGCAAAATCGAGCAGCAGGTCTGCATTATGTTTTGCGTGAAGCTCTGTAAATCTGCTACCCTTGAAATGCTTTGTCAAGCTTTTGGAGAATATTCTTTAGGCACATTTCTGAATGGCATTCATATTTCAAGGCCGGTCAAGTGTTGGTTGAAGACATCAAACGTTCAGGGCAACCAAGCACCAGCAAAACCTGATAAAATGTTGAAAAATTTCGAGAACTCATCTACGAAGACCGTTGCCAAACAACCCATGAGCTCACAGACACCGTTGTTATCAGTTATGGAGTTTGCCAGATCTTAACAGAAAATCTGAACATACACCACACTGCTCCTTCATCATGACAACTCATCCGTCCACACTTCCCCGAAAACCACAGAGTTTGTGACTATCAACAACATGGTTATTGTTCCACATCCTCCCTACTTGCCAGACTTAGGCCCCTGTGATTTCGTTTTTTCCCCCCCCAAATTGAAAATAAAGCTGAAGGGACAACGTTTTTAAACAGTGTCAGACATCCAACGGGAAATGCAGCAGTACTTGACAGTATTAAGGAAAATTACTTCCACAGTGCTTTTGAAGCATGGAAAAAATGATGGGATCACTGTATACATTCACAACGAGACTATTTTGATGGAGATGCAGCCAAAATTAAGCCAGAGTTTCTTTTTTGACCTAGTCTGGGAACTTCCCAATAGCATCTCATATGCATGCATGCTCCCACTTTTATAGACTTCCAGCAGCTCTACGACCAAACAACTATCAAGATACTTTTGGTAAAAATAGCTTTTACCTGCACTGAAAGGGTAGAATAATACTGATCTGGTGACAGGTTCATTACACAGTACATCAATTAGTTCTTATGTGATCAGTGAACGAAACCACATATTGCATGACAAAATTAAGGAAAAGACACCATGTAGTAAAAAATCTGTACACTTCCTTTACCAAAACAGAGAATGGACATAACATGAAGGAGGAATATTAGCCAAGTAAATATCATACTTTCTTTCATCACTTATCAGATGAGATGCACAACAATATATCTCCACTGCAACTAGGAGATCCTACATTCTGCTCTGCACTTGGTTCCATTCCATTGCTTTACTATTGTCATAAAGCAGTAAACACAGCCAGCAGACGGTGCTTCATACCTTTGCTTTGATGATATCTGACTGAGATACTTAATCTGTTCACAACCAAATGATGACCATTCTGCATATACTAAATTAGGAATAAAGTCACCTTATCTTCAGGCCGTAAATTTGGAACCTCAGTGCAAAACAGTCTAAACTGCTTCCCCTTAGGATTTCATGGCTGAGGTTAAAAGTATAATTTTGGCTTTCAGATATGCTGTGTCAAAGGGTGAAGATTTACCAGTGTTTATGTGAAAAATATGTAACCGCAGAAATGAAATGCATACAACAATCAGTGAACTGCTGGAGGCAGCATTTTCTATTGGACAGCAACAAAGCAATTTAAGTTAGTATGCCAGAGACACAATGGAGTCGGTGACAACAGAACACAATAGGGGCTGTCCGCTGCAAGAGGGCATGCAATCTAGCAAACACGGCTGTTATGGTACAGCCAGTATGGAATCCAGCAAGACTGACTATAAACCATTGTGAATACTTACGAACTGTGTAATTATTTATAGGTAAGAGAAATCAGTGTGCAGTAAATCCAATTACCAACCAGAATCCACCATCGGCGTAACATTATTACCCTTTGTTTCCTCATGATCCAAGACCCATACAACGACCCCGAGAAAGAATTTCATTGCCTACCAGAACCCCACCCAACAACAGAAACCAAAAGGAGAGCAAGCGGTAGCAATATAGATACACTGCATTCATACAAGTAATTTACATACCTGTTACTTTAAAAAACTGTTCTGTATAGAACATGTGAAACCTACTTTTAACAGGATAATATTACAAGTTAAACTGAGGTAACTTCAAGTGAATTTGATGTAGCAACATAGTATGGATATTCACACTTACATACACTATCACAGGATTCCTTCAGGAACAGTAAATTCTTCTTGATAACAGAGAAAATGTGATTACAACTGAATGCAATGGGGCAACAATCTCGATATTTACACCTATGGACTCCACCACACAGAACACTGGCGAACAGTGACATGAAAGTTACTCTTGATAAAATTTAAACATGCATTTTAACAGAAAAAACGATGAAAACTGAATGCAATGTGTCAATAGATCACGAATATTTACACCTACAGCCTTTGCCATGCAATACCTTAATAAACATTAATATGGAGTTCCTTGAAAAAATTTTGACTTACGTGTGTAATTTTCATAGGAAATGTGATTAAAACTGAAAAAGATGTGGCAATACAGTACTGATATTTATACCTAGAGATGACATAATATGACTGGTTGACAAACAAACATTGAGAAAAAATTCTCTTTGATAGAATTTGACAGATGCATTATTTTCACAGAAAATGTGACTGAAATTCTCATACTTCACTGTCATAATTTAACTGCCTAGCAATGGATGTCTTCTGTTCTGCAATTCTGACTTTCAGCAATTTGTCACAATATACAAAATGGGGAGTAAAAGACTGTTCATGTTTGTACTCATATAAATAAATAAAAATAATGGCTGTGGCATAGCTCAGGCAGTTACAACCTCATCACAATGGCCTGGGTTCATCCTAGAACAGGTCAAGTGGGATTTTGGAGGTCAAAGTGGAACTGGGATGGGTTGTCTCAAAGTGCATCAGTTTCCCTGGCCAATTCTCATTTCAACAACTGTTTCTCATTCACTAATCATCCTATCATCAGTGCTAGATAATCTTGACACTGAGAGTCATTAAATAAACTTAAAAAAAAAAAGAAAACAATGTCCTTGTTTTCTCTCATACAGCACAATGAACCTGCCAGAAAAACAATTTGCAAGATGTCCCTTCTCTGCACCTTTAGGTTAAAAATAACTGGAGAAAATGGGAAGATTATGCAAGCAAATAGAGTATACAAATGCATCATAGTTGCTTGCCCTCTGTAATACCAACCACTAACCGATGCATTGCTTCTTCCACTCGTGGGCCAACTGTTGTCGTCCTCACTACATCATCCAGCTGCATAATTATGTCAGCACCTATTGCATTCTGAATCTCAATGGATCGCTCTGGAGTCAACATCACGTCTGATCCTTAAAGATAAGAAATTCCCCTTGCTTTTGCCACCATTAACCCCTTTTCTACATTCTGCCAGAAAGCTTCTGACACTGTTATCATCTTTTTTAAATTGTAAAGTATTCCATCTGTAATGCAACAAAGTCAATCCTTTCTTAAAAGACATTAAAATATATTTAATTCAATAAAAGTGTTTGTTAAATATTTTAAAATGTCATCAACTATGCACATTTGATGTCACTGCTACATGTTTCGGCCACACGAGCCATCATAATGGCAATACTTAAGTTATCTGGGGAGACCACTACACTGTACAATTTGTCCTTAGTACCCTCAGGCAAATTGTTGTTGTTTGCTGTTATTCTGCTTCATAGGATATTTTCATCCCATCTTTTATTAGCAGTAGTTTCTGTGATCCTTTTTAGTGTGTCATTCACTTTAGTTGTGTGTGTTTAGTGCTGTTTGCTCCTTGTCTGTTATTATCAACTTATAAATTTACTGCCTCATTACAACTGCATGCTGAATGCTGTGTATCATTGCTCTATACATTCTTTGACATGTCTCCTAGTAGTTTGCATATGGAACTAGTAGATGGCAGGAATTTTATATTGTCTTAAAACAGCTTGCATTATTTTTGTACCTTTGCCTGTTACATCAGGTATGTGTGAAGCTCAAAATAAAAGTGATGAAAAAGAGTTAAAATATTCAAACAAATTATTTCCCTCATATTGAGACAACTACATAAAACATTCCCAACTAATACACAGCTTATTCCATTACAGTTATTGCTGAACTTATTAAAATTCCAGGAGGCAAGTAATTTGTTAGTATTAGCCCAGGACATCAAACAGTGAAATTCCATGCCAACAGGAACCAGATATACAGATACATAACTGGGAAATTTAAAGTTTATATTGTGACGTGCAGACCCACTTCTAGGCAACGCTCAAAATATGTGCACGCACCAAAGACAAGGGATTGCAAGAAGTGTTTTCTGTGTGGTCTGCGCCATGCCCATTGCTACACAACAGGTTGTTGAATAAATTCCTACGACGAAAAATACTTCTACTGCTAGGCAACAGCATGGTAAACATGCCTTCATAACAAGAGGAAGTGGTGTTTTCTATGAAATTACACTAAACTTTTAAGTTTATTTAACTGTAACTTGTTATTTCCATTAATATATCACCACATTTGAAATGCACAGCATGTGTTGCATAATCAACTAATATACAAAATTGGGTTAATTTTGGCTTTGAGAATTTAGCCTTATCACATTTTGTAGCTGTTCTAACTTGCTGGCACATATTGCAGCCATCAAATTTACCACATACATGGTGACTGCAATGCATGCCAAACCATCAGAACAGCTTCAAATATGACACATTATGACATAGGTCACAATACAATACAAAGATATCCAAAAAGGCTACTTTAACTAACAGAGGACAACAGAGAGATGCTGGAAAAGTATAATTCAGCATAATACAGTTAAATGAACAGTCACATATAATGACATAACATGATTTCAACCATCATGTGCTTCATGTACTGTACCAAGCCCCAAGCAGAAACAAAACACACTGACTGTAGTTCAGAACATGACAAAAGCAGAAGAGACTGGAACTGAATAGGCTAAATCAGTAACAAACATAATGGTGATGATTTCCAAAAGAAAATAAAATGCTATCTTCATGAACATTTTGGGTGTATGTCTGAGTACAAGGGTATGTATGTGCATGTGTACAGGTTTAGAGGTACATCCACATCTATGATAATTTGCACCTTCATGAAATTCCAAGTTTAAACTAATGTCTAAGACAGAGTCACTATGCCACAAACGAGAAGGTAGCGAACTCAATTCCTGATTAAGTCACTGGATTTTTCAATTAAGCCCTTAACAGAAATAAATACCAGGAATCTGCCTGGGGGTAAGGGCGGCCAGCGTATAAGGCTGACAACCTCAGTACCAATGTTGAGCCAACTGTCTAGAAAAGGTGGGAGCCTTGAAGTTTCACAACCCTATGGGCCTCCATGGCCTGTTACAGTTTAACCTTTCTTCTAAAACCTAAAACAGTGTAAAATTAAATACACAAATTCCAGCCTATAAAGGGTGCTAGCAGTCAGTGGCACTTGATGTTAAAGTGCATGCACTGCATGTTACAAATGGGCATCTTTTACAAAATAACAATGACCTTTGTAAGCTGACAAAAGAGACAGACCAATTACAATCAATGTCAAAATGGTGAAAGATGTTCATCTGTAGATAATACCAAACCAAACTATGAGTAGTTTAATGCTGACATATATGACAAACATAAGAGGTATTATTAAATGTCTGAAAATATGCCAAAATTTACCATTATAAGGAGACTGAAATTTTACTCCTTCTTCTGTAATTTCTGCCAACTTTAACAGTGAAACCATCTGAAATCCCCCAGAGTCAGTAAGGAGTGCTCTATTCCAGTTCATGAACTTGTGCAGCCCACCAGCTTTCATTATTAAAGCAGGTCCCTGGAACAAAGCAAACTGTTATCAAAACTGCATGAACAAGAATGTACAAGAGTACCAACAGGAATGCAATTAAGAAGAAGTTTTCCTTCTATGCATCTGCACCTATTTCAGGACAGAAATTATGATAGAGTTCTGTGCTTGTAAATGTGTTGTAAATTAAATGGAGGTGTGCTATATAACAGATGACCTCTGGGGGTTGACAAATGCTTTCAATAGTACACACAAGGCAATTACTGATTTTATGCTCTTCCTCATTTTAAACACTCTGTACTGGTCCAGGCCAAAAGGCTATAAAAACAATATTAAATTTTAATAGGATGTATGTTACTTCAAATTTACATTTTTCCCAAATTTTCACCTTCTTTTTTGAGCCCTGACATCAAGAAATTACCTAATTTTTAGTTTACAATGTCCTACATTGGGAAAACAGAAGAAACATTGGCATTGTTCTGCTCATGTATCATGGTGTGTCCTGATAAAATAGTCACATCTTGAAGAGTATGAGAGTTTCTGAACCTCACAAGTGACCAATGAACTGTAGACACAAAGATGCTTTCATGCTGACATTAGGCTTGGGTAGCTGCAGTTGTTTGTTTTACCATGAACATGACATTAAACATTATATACAAATGTGGCAATCCATTTATTAATTTATATTTGGCTTGATATATGTATAACAGAGCAAAACTGTGGGCATTTATGATAAAAGATAAAATCAGCATTAGAGATGTACATACTGAAACACACTGAACTGGACTCTCAGTTGAAACTATCACTGTTCACAATAAATAAGGGCATGAGAAACTGCAAAGAAACGGATGGTGTTATATCCAGTGCAAGCCTCTCTCTAAGTAATGGCACTACCTGAAATGTCTGTCAACAGAAGAATTGGAATCAACTGTTGCTGCATGGTTCAAGCAATCATGTGCGAGTTATGCTTCCAGAGATGGCAACCACCTGAAGGCAAAAGCTTTATACATCGCTGCTTCTTTAGGAACTTTTCAGAATCTTACGGTCAGATTGACAGGTTTAAGAGGTGACACAATGCCAACTACATTGCCAATGAATTTAAACATGCGTATTTGAAATAGCCTAACCTTATTGTCCATATTTTAATTTCCTTGATTATGACTGTGTTCAAATATGTGTATTTTAAATAGTTTGCCATTACTGTGTTCAAATAGGCATATTATCATGGGGCTATAAGAGAAGCAGGATGGGAACAGTGCAGCTTGCCTGCCAGCAAATGCCTCTCTGATTCTCTTGCTTGAAAGCTCAAGAAAACCTTTCCTCCTTTCTTGCTGTCATTTCTTCCAGGAAAGTGAAGGACCACCAAGTTCATGTTATGGCCCAAACATTCTCATGTTATAACATGCGTAAAACTGTGGCTGAAAGGCATGGAGAAGACAGACTTAGCCCACATGTCAGTACAGAAGTGGCATACAACGGTCATGTGTGGACAACTAAATGTGAAGCTGAAAGTGTTGCGGCTCACAAGTTAGTTCAGTTCAAGGCACAGGAAGAGGACAGTTCAGTAGCATATGGAAGAACAGCAGTGGATAAAAACAAGCTGAACTCAAGATCATATGTGGCTACTGACAGCGAAATAATATCATGATATGATCATGTTATTAAGTGCTTTACTGATTATTATTACACAAGGTTGGTAAAGGATTAAGGTGTCCAAACATACCAATAATATTAGAATAATTTTGAAGGTCATCAAATATATTAATTCATTATGAAGGACAAAAGACAGATGTGACATACACTGTCATACTGAGAGGGTGTGATGAGTGCTGTTTGTGAAGATTATGGAAATTTTTAGAAAGTGGGTTGACTTGCTGAACTGTATATATGTATACTGCAGCAAATCAACACATAAACGCTTTCTGATCAATCCTGAGTATAGCCCAATCCATGTGAGACTAATATCTGCTCTGAGTTTGAGAGCTGGCACTGCCCAAGTCTGCTCTTGAAGGTACCAAGGTTTGATTGTTTTTACTTGTCACATAATGTAAATAAACTTGTTGCACAGTACACTCTCCCTAGTATTCACCTAAGAGCAGCACCCACAGATTCGTACCCCCTACGTTTCGCTCAGCCAGGGTACATCGATCCCAGGACAAGCACAGTGTCAACACCAGAGATATGACATCTCAATATCCTCCACAAGTGTCAGGACTTGGCATCAGATGTGCGGTATGTGAAAATACTAGGAGAGGCATTGAACCATAGACCACAGGACAGAAAAAGACATACTGATGAGATCAAACCAACTTATTCTGTTAGAAGGGTCCTCAAGAGAGAACAGAAGCAGTAAATGGAGTGGGGGAAGAAAGCCATTAGCTGTTGACTTAACGAAGAAATAAATGATTGCTATTTCAAGAGAAAAATGTAAAGTTGCATATTGTTTCCCTGTATTGCTAGGAGGAGAAGAACAAGGGAATTACAGGCAGCTCAACGGAAGTCAGCTGTTTGCCATTGTGGAAGCAAGTTTAATTTGTACTGTAGGGAGAAAGTGAGAAGAACATAACATCAAGTACATCACACTGCTGCAGAGGAGAGCCAATGGCTTGTCAAAGCTCTGGTTTAAAGCAGCCCACATTTTCATTTACCTAATTTTATACCTGCCTTGATTTTATGTTTATTTTGGGTGATCCCTTCAAAATCGCATTATAGTAGTAAGATATGATAAAGCAGTTCCTGTGTTTATGTAGTTAAGTGCCATGACATGAAGATGTAGGGGAGTGAAGGTATAGCTCCACCATTCTTGACCTCAGCACTAAATGGACTGAGTGGTCAGCTTCAGGCTCCAGGGACTTTACCCCCGGGGAAACAGCCCTCAGTACCTACTGGATGGAAAGTTGGGTGGGCCTTAGAGCCAGTTTAGAGAAGAGGAAAATCCTTGGCCCCTACTAGGAACTGAACTCTGGATATCCAGCCCATACCCCATCACTATACTGAATGAGCTACTATGGGAGTTATTTTCTACAAATCAGTGAGCTTTCTGCAGTCAAGAAAATATTCTCAGGCGAATACTTCACATACTACATTAAAAAATGGACACAGACCATCAAAATTGGTTAAGTGCAACTTACATGACAGAGGTGCTATCACTATCTGTCAAAGTGCTCAAAACAAAATCACACCTAAGAGAAAAACAAAAAAATCTCTTCAATGAGATCAGAGAGCATTAAAGCCATGCTTGTTTCAATGCTCAACTGTGGTGCTTTATTACAACACTGAAATGCACATTAAACAGCTTAAATACACACTTTGTCACATGTTAGTGACTAGGTGGAGGTTTGGATTGATAACAGAATTTACTGGATCCTTATTACCCATAAAGACAGATAATTAGAACACTATTACTCTTCTTAATCTTCAAATACCTACAGCGCTTTCAAAGTCTTTCTACTCTGCCATATCTCCTCATACTTGCTACTTGATTATGGTGTTTAATAATGCTGACTCACCCTACTGCTTCCATGCCCAACAGCTTCAATCTCGTTGACTCCCTATTTCAGTTTGGTCTGGTCCAGTAATTTGCTGCTGGCTTTGCCAGCACAGTAATTCTTGGTTTCAGGGCCCCCTCAGGACCCATGACCTATTTTTCTATCTCACAACTCTAACTGAGTCATGAGACTACCCCCCCCCCATTTTGGTCAGTTGGTCGGTTAGGTAAATTGCTGCTGGCCCTCGCTAGCACAGTCATTCTTTGTTCCGAGTCCTGCAGGACTCATGATCATATCTTCCTGCCTCACCTGACTCCCAGAGTCTTGATGGCTGTCCTTATATTGCTTTGATGTGGAACAATCACTGTGTGCATATTCATTATTTTGGAAGTTCACAGTATCATTTATTCAATCAATAATTCCTTCTATGGAACATGCCCATTAAGAGCGTGCTGTATACTTTTAAAATCTTGTTTACATTGTGGTCTTCTGGGTTATGGCACCATGTAGTCTGATAGATGGTTACATATGAAACCATGTGCTATCACAAGCCAGAAAACCAGAATCTAAATTTTCATCACCGTGGTTACGAAGCTTATTGTCATCAAAATAAACAGACAGCTGCTTCAATATCGAGATACTTCATATATGACAGGGCAGCTTATGTTGAATATGGACATAATTCATACACAGAACTAAACTATGCTTAGAAGGTGGTTGCATCTACAGCTCCATAGTCATTATATAATAAATTATTCTGTGTAGTGGTTTTAATAGTAGCAGTTAACTGAAGTAGCAATCATCAACAAAACACCCAATGGCCATGTGGAGCTTTATTTAAAATTTCATTAATTCAGACTGATATATTGCCTGTAGCACCTGTTTTACATTAAAATATCCATATTTTGCCCACAGCACATATTAACTTATTTTATATGATTTTCAAATTGGAGGTAAACAAAACAAACTGAGTGGTTTTAGTCTCCAAGTGAACTATACTGACTGAGAGACCGTCACTTGTTGGCGAAGTTAGTGCCAACTTTAGCGGATAGGGGGTGTTACATGCTCAGCGCAATGAATCTCCACGGCCATTAATTTCAGTTTGCTAGACCACAGCCATTATTTCCTTGAAATGGCTTATCAATTATCTTCACAAGGCTGAGTGGACCCCGTTCCAGACTCACTACATCTCAGGAAATCTGATAGTGCTGGGAATTGAACCCGGACCTATGGATCTGTAGTCAGGAACATTACTTTCCGAAACACTGATACCCAACTGGTCTCTGCAATGGAGACATTGTTCTCTGTGAGCGAGGAACTGAAGTAATAAGTATTATGTGAATGGATTTCAGGCTTTAGAGGCTTAAACATATCTAATCCAGATAAACCTACTGGAGACATTTGAAGTGCAGAGCATTTTAAAATAATCCACATAATAGAGCTGGGTTTACAATAAATGAAACGTTTATCAATCTGAAATCATCACCTCAGCATGTGATAAATGCATTCAATATTACATCTATTTGAGAGCTGAAAGGAACTAATTCCAGTACCTAGTTTAAATCTGACAAATTATTTTCACAGTATACAGAGTTATGCAGCCACAGAGGCTAAGTTCTGGATACAAATAACCTTCACGCAGAAAACTATACCATTCAGTCACATCTAATTCCTAGTTCTACAGAAGTAATGAGCTTACTGGTCTTGTTCCTAGATGGTATGTGTTCCCCAGCATTATCTGGCAGCCCAAAGCTTCCAATTGGTCAGGAAGGAGGCCTTTCAGTGTGCCCTGGAAACATGACAAGGATGTGAGAGACGAGCAGTAACTCAGTCTAACTATTTGGGTAGTAATGCCGTGTAATTCAGGGAGACCTTGATGTTTTGAAACATACTACCACAGTCAAAGAGTAAATTAGACAAGAAACCAGAAGAAGTAGGTAGCAAGTTCAGCTTAATCTTGCCACCTGCTTCTGCTGGTTTCTTTCTTATTTTTTATACAGGTTATTTCGTGATGTTTTCAGTATTAAGACTACACAGCAGTGAATGGCAGGATCACAGAATGATGACAATTAACTGAAAAGGATTTGGAAAGAAGCATTCATGGTCTAATCAAGGTACTATCCCAACATTTACCAGGAGTGACTAAGGAAAACCACAAGAAACCCCACCCTTGACAGCTGGTGCCCTGGTCAACATTTGAACCTAGCACCTCCCAAATACAGGACTACAGCATTACATCTAGACCAACACTGGTTTCTTGCTTGGCAAACTTCGCCCCTAAAGATGGGGGGACATGATGCTCTAAAAAACTGGACTCTCTCAAAATTACATGATGTTACAACCAAGAGCACCCCTGATCATTATACTCTATTGAAGCATCCTGTTGCATTGTGTATACCAATTTTAGGTTTCTCACTTCACCATCCCTGTGCAACTCCAGCAGAGTCACTGCCATGAGAACCTCAAATCTAGCACACAGTAACTCTGTTGTAAGAATGAGGCAAACAAATACAGTTTTAATCGTTTCTTGCATCCTGTTGTGTGTTTTAATCAATAGTAGAGTGAATTTACCGACTACACAACACATGTTGTGTAGTCGGTAAATCATAAGAACTCAGTTAGAATAGCTGGTCTCTGGGCTGAAATTTAAACCTGCACCTTCCAGCACATGACACAGGAGTGGTACCCATCTACTGCAATGTTGAGTCCAATGATACAACAGATGGGTCTCTAGTTTATACACACAGCATGGCAAGATTCTTCCTGTATCCTTCTAATGATGGATGAAGGTCATCAGCAGTATGTACTTACAAATTTCACACTAACATCTGGCTACCAAATTTAATCCATGCATAAGTTATGAAAATGCAACAATACAAGACAACAGATTCTTAAACTATTTTGATAAAACAAAATAAGCTGCTTTTAACTGAACCATGTATGCTGATCACAAAAATGGCATTCAAAAAGTTACAACATGCAGGAACGACAGCAATTGGTGACTGAAGTTAATATGAATCCAAAATTTCTGACAGGGGATGGTCATGAACTAATGACACCAGAGACTCACGGGACTGAACTAAGCAGGGCTGTCAGAATGAGTTTACCCCAAGAGTCACGGACTGGCAGTAGTTAGATGTAGTGAGGACTACATGGTTTTGCTTAGGGAGCATCCTTGACAGGGGAAGGTGACCATTTCCTCAAAACTCACATAACAGATGGTCACACTTAAGAGACACTATTCACTGCATGTGGTGGCAGTACACATCACTTTAAAATTATTATGTGGGCTGTCATGTATGATTCACTGCAAGAGGTTACCAGCAACTACTTTCTATAGATATCCAATATAAGTTGTAAGCCACCATTACAAGTGGTGGCATGATGCATTTGTGCTCATCATTACAACTGGTGCTATGCAGTGGCTGTACTGTTCACTACAATTCTCACTACTATACAAAAAACATGTGATTTGTTCAACATATACGCAAGATATTAACTAATCTGTCAGTTAACACAGATAATCTGAAGATGATTAATATGTTTCAAATATCACACCCAACAAAAAACAAAAAATAAAAAATACATGAACGTTTATAACATTATATTATACAATCATGAAATAAAGTAACACTATACTATCATTTCACAAGAATTGATAGCAAGATGGTGGCAGCAGAGTTTGGACTTGATATTGTTTCTTGCTATTTGGATCAAGATCCTTGCATAAGTGAAGAGAACTGATCTGCAAATTGTTTTAGATTGAAGGATTATTTAAAAGTGGTTACAACACCATTAATATCTATGCAACATATAATCAGGATCTTATATGAAGACAGAATAAATGCCGACGACCCCCAAAACCAGGATAGCCCACTGAATCAAATTTATAAGGATGGTGAGGTAAACAAGATGACAAAGTTGAGGTAAAATAATTTGATACACAAACGAGAAAACAGGTAAGAAAAAACAAAAAATTATAGTAAAGGGAGATAGCCATGCATGAGGATTGGCCAAGGAACTGAAGTATAGATTAAGCCATGAATCTGAAAACACAGGGTATTATAAAATCTGACTCCACTCTAGAAAAATTGGTGAAAATGGCTTGCACTAATTTAAAAACTTCAACTATGAGAGACGTGTTTAGTTTGGGGAAATTCATATGATTTTGGCAGAAATGAGACCAACTAGGGTATTCGTGCACTGAAGGACTTTGTAAGTTCACATGAACATACTAATGTTACTCTGCTAAATATTCCACATAGACATAATATTGCACCTAACTCGTGTGTAAATTTTGAAGTTAAAGTGTTTAAGAGAAAACTAAGAAGACAGAGAAAGGTGCATAAAAATGTCAACGTTAACTGTGGATTTAGACAGGGATTTATATACAAGGTACAGGTTTCACTTGAATGCTATTGGGAAGGAGCAAATAGTAAACGGTGTTGCCTCAGCGATAAAGCTTTGTTCGGCATAAATAAGGAGTCACTGATAGCCTTAAAAAGGAAAGAAAAGGAGTACAGGGATAGTTATCCAAGTGGAAAATGAACATGCTAGGTGTCCCAGGAAGTCAAGATGAGTGCTTGTGAAAAAAAGGTTCTATTACAAATATATAAAAAAGTGAATCTGGTGACCATATAAAAAGTGAAAAGATCAAGAAGTTAAGTGGGGATAATCACGTGCAGGCAGTTCAGGAACCTCAGGAGAGTATTAATGTAAATAAGGAAGGCATACAAGAAGATATAAACAGTGAAACAGAAGATTAAAAAATAACTGAAGAGGACATAATGAAACAAGACAAGATTGGTTTACTATCTAAGACAAGCAGACGTCAACCTTTAAAACGAAACAAGGATTTTTTATGGTAAATCCCATGCAAGAAACTGGCTTTTCTCCAAGCAGGGTAAGAGCTGTTAAAATGCAATATTTGAGTATTCTACGTCAAGCTATTCAAAGTTTGTGAAATAAATTATTGGAATTAAATGCACTGCTCAGGTCATGGTTATCAAAGCCAGATATTTTATGCTTTCCTGCATACTGGCTAAAAAGGATCAAATCTGACACGTAAATATTGAACATTATAAACTGGCATATAGTTTCTGCAGGGAAAAAGATAAGCATGGGTATTCATGTATATTTCCTTCTAATGTAATAAATGTTAGGAAGGTAATCTTTTTAAAGAATTTAGGAAGGGATAAAGAACTTGAAATATGAGCTACTGAATTAGTTGATTTTAAAATTCCAGTAATTTGTATATACAGATCTCCTCATAGTACTGTAAGAATCTTTCTAGTAATATCGGGTGAAATGATAAGGTACTTTTTTGTGATGACTGCGATATTAACTTATGCTCACCTATTAGTCTGTTATGTCAGCTTCTAGCTGTGAGGTAAGTAGCAGTAATGCTTGTGATCCAAGATATGTGTTCCTGTTCTTAACATAGTTCCCATACTTTCAGCACTTATAATTAATTCAGTCTATTACCATACTACGCGGTGTCATAACCCAGGAGGCAATATGAATCTTCACCACGATGAAAACCCCCAACTCTCAAAGGAATATGCCACGTGAATATGACATATTGACACAATTTTTGTTCACACGAACAAAGATGCTATAATAGCAAGAACAAAACTAAAGGATTTGTACAATCTTTATATGCTAAGTAAGACTCAGGAACATAGAGACATCTATAAAGCATATAAAAAGGAATATAATGTAATATTAAAAAACGCAAAAGAAAACTACATTCAGAACATTATAACCAGATCAAATAACACTCCAAAAACATTGTCAGAATTTGTTAAAAGAGAAAGAGGCTCACCAAAAAATACTCTCACTAGTAATATACACTTACAAGATGGAAATGAAATAGTCTCAAGTAAAAACCTTAATAGAAACTGTAAATAAACTTATACTTTACAAAAATTTATTACATCCACAAATTAGTAATAACAATATAAGCATAAAAGATTCACTTGCCCTATTAGAAATAACAGAGACTGAATTGATTAAAGTAATTCAGGGCATGAAGAATAAAAAATCAGGACTCGATGACATCTCGCCATATATGCTAAAACAATGTACACCTTACATAATAAAGCCACTCCTAGAATTGGTCAATGCATCAATCAGAGAAGGCATCTTCCCTTCTAAACTAAAAAAATTGGTAGTCAAACCAATCTACAAAAATGGGATAAAAGAAGATGCAAATCGTCCAATTACTCTTGTACCTGCCCTTTCAAAAGTTCTGGAAACAGTAATAGCTAACCAATTAATAGCATTTTTAGAAAAACACAATATACTTAATAAATCTCAGTTTGGATTTAGGAAAAATAAATTTACTAATGATGCAATTGCCACAATTATTGAAAACATAATAGAAAGTTTGAATGATAAAATAAAATGCAACTGTGTACTATTCGACTTATTCCATGGCGTCGACGTTGTGAAAAATGTATATGGCTGCAGGGAGATTACGTTGAAAAGTGACAGAAGTTTCAAATTTTTTGAATGATAAGTGTGTGAGAAAAAAAATTGGAGACCTTAGAACTTGAACGCACAACGTAGTATGGGGACATAGTGCTAAGAGCCTCACTAGAAGAATTTTTGTATTCCAAAAAAAGGGCAGTAAGATACACTGCAGGGCTAAAACATCTGGAATCATGCAGGGATAGCTTTAGAAATCTAAAGATACTAACAGTAGACATATAGGACAATAGGACATATTGAAGCCAACATGACATCTGGACCTAATATGGATTCCACCTCACACTATATGAAATCTTAACTACTGTAATCTACTGTAATCGACTGTAAACAATTTTAAATATTGTAACTTTATTCTCTTATTGTAATCAGCTAAGGCACAGTAACTGACTTGTCCTATATCATGTAACAATGATCTATAGAGACAAAATAAATTAATAAATATATATACACAAGAAACAATCCTATATGTAAAAAAAAAGTGTAACTGCACAGTGAATGAACAAATACATACATATAACACAAGAAATAATAAAGACTATCATATACTCGTATATGGGCACAACTTAGAACTTTATAATAGTAATCCTTCAGTAGCTGGCTGCATCTTTTACAAAAAAAAAAATGCATAACAACATAAAAGAAATAGAAAACAAAAATCAGTTAACAAGGGAATTGAAGAAGTTACTTATTCAGAGGTGCTACTACTCAACGGAGGACTATTTGAACAATGAATTCTCGAATATTGGCTACTGATATAAGCAGAAGTATATAGTATATAATGTATAAAACGTTGTATATCTTATATAACTTTTTAGTATTAAGATTGTTGTACTGTAATAATGTATATTAGCTGAAAGACTTGTCCTATATATGATCTACAGGATTAAAAAAGAATGAATGAATACATATCATATCGCCGAAAATTCTTTTCTTGGTTCCGTGCATCTCTGTAGATCAGTAAATACATATATTCCACGACGGTTTTTACAACTTATATAAATGTGGAGTACAAATAAATCTTCTGCTGATGAACATTCTTACCTGTGTGCCTACTGGCATGAAGACCGGCGTCTCTACCTCACAATGCAACAGACTCATTACACTTGACCGTGCTTTACACACGTTACACTTTGCTTTTATTTGGAAGCCAAGTGCTCCGTTGTTTCCTACCGCTGGCATTTTTAACACACTTCAAAACTTCTAACTGCTATATTACCACATTACTACCATACCCGAACACCAGACACGTGCAGACTACCAACGTGATGCATATAACATAACGGATCTTACGAACGACTACCAACATTACGAACGTTACGAATCCGCTAAGCCAGGCTACGGCAGAACAGGGCCTTAAGCGCCGGGGGCGACAGGCAGTATTATCCAGATACTAAATATAGATAGGAAACTCAGTCGTTTTAGTTGTTCTCACAGTGGAGATTATGAAAAGTACTATCTTCTCGGATATTACGTTGTGTAGTATTTTTTTATTGTTATTGGGGTGGGACTAAGTCCCTTGTACTGCGGCCACTTCTGGCCTATTGTACTAGCCCCAGATGATAAGTGAGGGTCATTGTGGAGCAATTGGTGGAATGAAAATTGGCAGGGGAAACCGAAGTACTCGGAGGAAACCTGCCCCAACGTCACTTTGTCCACCACAAATCCCACTTGACCAGACCCAGGCCGCCGCGATGGAAGGCCAGCGGCTAAACGCTTGAGCTATGGCGCTGTCACGTTGTGTAGTAAGTTGAAAGCCAACCGATGTTTCGGAGGAACATATCGCCTCAATCTTTAGGGTCAAAAAATAAGCAGAATAAGATACCCACGTGAAAGCTGGTGGTAAACAGTTGCTGGCAATCTAAGGGGAGCAGGATTTTTTATTTAAAAAAATCATGTATATACAAAAATGGCCAAGACAATGAAGGATTTCCAAGAGGTTGCATTAGTGACATCTAACTGTGGGGCACGACACCTACTTCAACCAACTACACGAAAGTGATTCTACTTATACAAGAACTTCATGAAGAAGTCCCACAACTGAACAAATTACAGCACTATGCTTATTTTAATGCTAATATGCATGGGCCATAATTTCGTGCAACCACTGCCAAGAGCCCATTGGCTAAGAAGACAAAAACAGTACACTACTTACACCTTCCCACCCTCAAACTCTCAATATGTCAATAATTAATTTTGAAAAAAGTAACTACTTACTTTCAGTCTTATTTATGTAACTTTTGTAAACAGCTATGTGGTTATGGTAACACTGTCATGGTCATCCTCAGGTACCTCTCGTGCCTTAAGTTGTTTCACTGTATTGTATGGGTAGCTGTAAATTAAATTAATGAAAAGCTGAAAGTTAAAAAAAAAATGAACATGTTGGTCAGTAAACAGTGAAACGTTATATGCTATATACCTGAGAATGATCCCGCAAGACTGAAACATGTTGTATTAATAATTAAGCAAGAATTTTGTCAGTACTTCTCTTGACAATGTGGTGAAGACTTGTTCTTTAGTGGCTACACATTCTTCACTGGTGTAGCAGGCCTCACTGAAAACAAATGTCCATAATATGCACATGTTACATGTTGTAAACTGAAATGTCAACAGAAATTTTCAATTTATGCTTGGGCTGGTATTGTTGGAGACTGTTCTGTAGGTCCATAGTTCTGCCTCAGAGCCAATGGCACTGCTGTCATTTTTTTTAAGTACAATTTGCCAGAATGATTGACCACTGTCCCACTGAATATTTAATGAAACATGTAGTTAATGCATCATGATGCCCCAGCCCATTTCAGTCACACCACCAGAGATTACCTTTAGACTGCATACACTGGGCAAAACAGAGGAAGGTAGGGACAAGTATCTTGACCAAGTCATTCATCAGGCCTGAACCACTTAATTATTTTATTTAACAGCTTCTAAAAAATGTGGCGTACACTTCAGCAATGAACAATGCAAAGACTCCACCACACAGCATTCAAAATGCTATACCTCAGTCCATGACATGTCTGACATTTCTCACTGTCTGTCAAACCATGTATCTGTAGCTCAAAGCTTGTGTGGGAACATAAGGTCATTTTAAATATCCACCACAACCCTATCATTTATTTTCCAAGAGAGCCTCAAAAAAATCATTTGGCTCCTAGGATGAGAAGGATGCAGGTTATTCATATTACCTCAGATTAATAAATATATACTGCAGGATGTTACAGCTCCAAATAAGAAACTATTTACACAACTGTAAATAAATTTAGGCATAATAATATTGTAGCATCCTGTTGCATATCATTTATTATTCAACAAATGCCACTGATTCACTGACTTATGTGCAAACGTGTCCATCTAAAACTTATTTAAAAAATTTCTTACATACACACAATGATTCTTTTAAATCTTATTTAAAAGCTTCTGTATATTGCATCACATGTTTGACTAACATGGGTCATCATTAGGTGATTAAAATTGTTGGTGAAAACTACTGTGTTTATGTTTTGTGATGTTAATATTCGATGTGTACTTCATGCTGCTGGGTATCTCTTTCTGTTGTAATCTAAATGCACAACACAACAGGAAGAGACACCCAGCACCATGAAATACATGAGCATGTAGATGGGACTACAAATTGAATATTAACATCACAAAATGAAGCACAGCAGTTTCCACCAACAATTTTAAACACCTGATGATGACTAATTGAAAAATGTAGTGCAATGTAAAGAAGCTTTTAAATAAGGTTTAAAGAATCATTGTCTGTATGTAAGAAAATCATTTAAAGAGTTTATGAAAATGACAAAGTCAGTGAAGAGAAACTGGATGTAACTAACTGGTGTGTTGGGTTTCAACATTCCTCTAAAAAATCCCTTAAGACACTGTCCAGAGGAGAGAGGGTTTGAAGTTTCACTTTTGCTCTCCTTCTCAAAAGGAATTTCAGTGCATAAATGTGAACATTTTATGGAGGTGCTAGGGATGCCTGCATAACAACAGGGGCCATTTCTGGCATCTGATGTCATCTGGGTGTGTTTTTTTAGTGATTTATTGGCCTGTCTGTTGGCTATGTCATAAGTTCAAACACACAGTGAAAAATGATATGAGTAGTCAATGGAAAGGCTCTCAGATGACCTTCCTGTATATGTGACACAGTGTATGATATATTTCATGAAGACGATGATAATACAGGTTCGAGAAACAAAGATTTGGACTTAGCACCAACAGTAAAATAGCCTCTTCAGCACCTATCCTTGGTTTCTTGTTCCAGTTTGTTTGAGCTTCATCCTTCATTTGGAAAGTCTATCGCTTTGCATTTTTCATGTGAAAAATGTATTTTCTTTTCTTATGTTCAGAAAGTTTGGGAAATACTGACTCATCTGGAACGACATGGCTTCTTTTGTTGTTTCTGTGTATTTTTGGAGCCCATCTCATACATTTCATCTCAACGGCTGTGTTTATGGACTATTCTTTATAATCTTTACTCTCCAGATTATGTCATTTGAAGCTGGGACAATAAATATGTTAAGTGATTTATGTTACACTTAACCCAGTTCTGAAGGGAAAGGAAAAATACATGATAGACAACAACAGTAATTTATTTCTTAATTATTACATTCAGTTTCAAGAATGGAACAATTTGCCTCAATTATGTCCACATTTATCTAGTTCTTTGAAGCAGTCATGAGCTGAGTCAATGGTCAGTGTCACAGACACAAACTCACACGAACCAGAATCTGATGTGAGGTAAATTATCCATGAATGTAAGAGCTTATTCACTTTAATTCACATGAAATCATCTGAATCATTGCCATCTACTGAAGTGTTGGACGTCATGTTCTCCAGCTTCATCAATGTACTATAGCTTCTGTAAACAATTCAATAATCAGTAAAGAATACTGCAATAATTCAAGTACATGCTTGCATATGGAAACAGATATTTGCTGGAGAGGAAATTTGAGAATATACACAAAATTCTAACAACAAGCTTTGAGTCAAAATTTTAGATATATGACAAAGGAATGCTACATGGAAATGCAACATAATAAGGGCCAATTAACATCAACCATTTTTTATAGCATACCTAATTCATTCCCTTCTACCAGCACTGTCAAGGTCATTAAATTATATTTCAATGGTGGAAGGATAAACTGGACATGTAATTGGATGGTGGAATAAAGATATGCTACAGAACTTTGGCAGGGAAAGCTCCAAGAGAGTACACAAAGAATGAGATGGAAAATAGGGTGTGGTGACATGAAGTAAACTGTAGTTGAGTCAGGAAACAGTGTACAAGGTGTGCTCAAATACCTTCTAAACTTGCAGTTTCTTTAGTAAGTTCGGATTTTAACACTGTTCAATAACATTTCCTTTACAAATACAGAAGGCATGCAGATGATATTCTAATTCCTGCTACAAAGCCTTGCCAACAAGCGTTATGTACTCGTATTATACATACACCTTGTCCCTTACAAATCAAATTAAAAATAAATCATCAATCTGGATGGCAAGGGAACTGTATAACCACAGTCAACCAATGTTACAACTATTGCCCATGCAGTGGCGCTGGGTCACATCTCTTTGACACATCAGATTTACCATATCCAACTACAAGTTCTGCAACTGTCCCAGTACTCATGACCAATTACTGCATCCTCAGCAAAGATCAACAGTCTCTGAAACCTTGTCACATTAACAGTGCACAGAAACACGAGATGCAGATTTCAAACTATTGATTAAATATTAACGCAGTCATCAAAACATTGTTGAAAAAAAATGGATATATGATGGGGCTCTATATCAGTTATTTATAGAATTTAGTGAAGTTCTAATCTCAGAAAAAAAGTATGAGGTCTGACAATAAAGTCTGCGAATTCGCCATTGTGTGCTTGCTGTTGCAACACTGGACAGAAACCTTGGTATGGTTTGATGATGTAGGCATATCAGCGTTTCACAGCTATGGTGTTGCTGATCTATTGCAGTATCTTTCTGAGTGGCATCTATTATTGTCTGAGTGTGTTTTGGCGTGTTGTCGCGAGAATGTCAGAGCCTGAATTAGAGCAACTAATGAACATTAAATTTCTTGTTAAACGTGGGAAGAGTGGAAGCAAAATCAGAGGTTAGTGCAAGTTTATGGGTATATGCTATGAAGAAAACAGTAATTTACAAGTGGATGACATGTTCTTCTGAGGGAAGAGATAGTGTCACTGAAGAAGAGAGATCAGGATGGCCAGCAATTAGCAAAACTGAAGAAAACATTGCAAAAGGTCGTCAAATTGTGTGTGTAACTCATCAGCTGACTATCAGGAGGATAGCAGGGCAAGTGAACTTCGACAAAGAAACAGGAAAATTTTAACTGAAGATCTTGACATGAGGAAGGTGTGTGCAAAAATGGCCCCAAAGGAGCTCACCAAAGAACAAAAGCAAAGAAGAGTCGAAATTTGCCAAGACATTTTGGAGAGGCAAGATGACATTTTGGGCCATGTCACCATAGGTGATGAAACATGGGTCTACCAGCATGATCCTGAAACAAAATGGCAAAGTGCACAATGCAAGACTGCCAATTCTCCCACATCCAAGAAAGTTCTGTCAGACCAAATCAAGAGTCAAAACCATGTTGTTAACTTTTTTGATATTAGAGGGAATGTTCTTTATGAGCATGTACCAACTGGACACACACACACAACCAAGTTTACTATTTGGAAGTACTGAAAAGGCTGCATGAAAAAGTCAGATGGAAACGACCCGAGCTTTCTGCCAACAACTCATGGATCTTGCATCACAACAATGCACCTGCTCACATGGCACTGTCTGCGAGGGATTTTTTAGCTAGTAAAACAAATAACTGTGCTGGAACACCCTTGCTATTCACTGAATCTAGCCCCCATTGACTTCTGTTCCCCAAAATAAAATAAATATTGAAAGGAAGTCATTTTGATGACACTGATGATATCAGGAGTAAAATGATAGCAGCTCCCAGTTCCAAAATTGTTTTGAAGGGTGGTCTAGGCGCTGGAATCAGTGCATAGCTTCCCAAGGGAAGTACTGTGAAGGTGACCATAGTGATATTCAGCAATGAGGTATGTAGTGCTTCTAACATGACAAGTTCACAAACTTTATAGTCATCATTTTCACTGAAGTGAAGTCACCTGAAACCAAATGGGCTAATCAGAACATGCTTAAATTAAACCTATAGTAAGTCTGTACACATAAACATTTGTTTATGCATTTCTTATTAAGAAGGATCTGAAAAAAATGAGATGCACTATCAACACTGCTTTTCAATTTTGCTTTGGAATACACAATTAGAAAGGTCCAAGAAAATCAGCTAGGAATAAAACTGACTGGGACACTTCAACTTCTGGTATGTGCTGATGAAGTTATATGTGGAGCGAAAATGTTAATATCATAAAATCATAGAAGTTTGAGTAGATGCTAATAAGGAAATTGATATACAGTGAAAATTAAGTACACGTTCAAGTGTTGTCACCAGAATGCAGGAGCAGTCACTATACTTACTATACCAGCCCGGCTCCTACATCAAAATGTATATCTTAAATAAATAAGCTGTTAAACAGCAGAACAAAAAGCCTCTTTTAATGGAACATCTGTTCTACAGTTCAATGTGATTCCCTTATTACTCTAATAAACTGCACATTTTATATGTTCAGAGATACTGAAATGTATCATATGTTCATATTTTTATACTTGTATCACAAATAAACCAATTTTATATGTGATACTATGTTGTCACGTGATACAGTGACTATAGATGGGTCTGAATCGGTAACTGGATTTATTGAGCACTTGAAATTGGAAAATTAAGGATAGGTTCTTCAAGATGGCAAGGATGCCCAACAAAAAATTAACTGCTACTGCTAGAATGATATGGAAGTTTTCAAGTGTCTTCAAAAGTCCCTTAAATTTTAAGGGCCACCCATCCAACATGATAAATATGCTGAATTATTTGAATCTTAGCAGGCCATTACTAGCAGTATTCCTTAGTTCATCTTACCTTTTATAAGAACTTATAAAACTTGCAGAGTGGAATCAAGAAATCACCCACTTGTGAACAATATGGAACATTTAGCAAACATCCAATACACAGAGTTGTTACTTGTGTGCAGTACACTGTATGGGAATTAAATGATTTAAAACAGTCTTCATTCTTGTCATTAATCCACAAACGTTCCCTGTCATACTGGAAGCTTCATCTCTGCCCAGTCCTTCCAGCTAAGCCCCAGACTATTCTGCTCACCTACTACTAGCCCTTCCCTAGTGATGTCCTTACACAATGATGCCCAGAATTACTCCTTAACTCCACCATCTTTAAAATATTTTGCATACATTACCATTTGCTTCACTGTAGACTTCTTATAAGAGTCACTAATTATGGGGCTATGGAACTTGGAGCTCTTTACTTCAGCTACAACTTACAGAATTAAATTCACAAATTCTTTACAATGGTTATTACTTCTGCACTGCTCATGAACATTTATGCCTAATTTGTTTGAAGGTTTAACAGCTCTTCTATACCACTGGGTGGCTTATTATTGTTGGTCATGTGATATGCTATACTGAACACCACTATTAAGTACCCAAATATTTCTTCTTCCATTTTCTATATATACACAGCCAGTGGTGTTTCTTTTGAATTCAACTGTGCATGAAAATTTCCCATAAATTTTATATGTATGGACAACTTTCCATAGAATCTGAAAGTACGTACTTAAATGGAATAGAAACAGTGTCTAACTTTCTGGTTAATTCATGCACTGAAGTCAGAACATATAAACCATCTTGCTACTTCACTCTTAGTGTCATATTCTAAACATGAAAAATCCTTCAGCCAATCACACTGAAATTCTCTACCTCGTCTTGATTTCTTGTAACCAGAGTTGAAGATCCTGGTTATTTATATTGTTTATCTCTTTGAGCATCTTCACATTTTCTTCACATGCTGTGTTGTCAAAATATAATAATAATGTGCTTTGAGTTTTTTCTTTGTTGCAGCTACAGTTAGTAAGTTTCTTTAAAAAGAAGTGCAACACTTTCTTCATAGTCTAGCTCTAAACATAGCTCTAATTTCACACTTTGTGTTTGCTTTTCATTATACCAATAAATAAGACATCATTAAATGAATAAAAAATAAACTATACATGAGCAGAACACAATGTCAGCAAGCAACAGATCTGCACCATGCTTCAAGAGCGGGACCCAACAAATCAAATATAACACAGTTTAATATTATAACAAACCCCCCCCTAAAAAAAAAAAAAAAAACTTTGTGCCTTATTGTTTGTGATGCCAGAACACAAACAAGAAAAGATAAACTACATTACAAAATAATTCTGCTCATCCAAAGCAAATAGTATTCCCAGAAATGTAACACATAAATACCACAAAAGTAAAATTATATCAATCCAAACCAAAAATTTGCTGAAATAGTGCCAAAACTAGAACAAAAATTCAGAAGATCATTTGAGAACCTAAAATGAATTAAATGGAACTCCTACTGCAAATTTTAACTCACCAGAAGGTGAAATCTATTCATTTGACGTAAGCAGGTGTTTCAAGCCCTGCTAATACCAGAATATCAAAAATCAATCCTCTGTTCTCACTATTTACCTCAACTCCGCTTCCTCCTTTTTTCTTTTCTCTTCTTCCTTCTCTCTCTCACGTTGTTGTCTTAGTAGTTTTTTCTTGTCTTCTCTTTCTTCTCTGTCTCTTTTCTCTCTCTCTGCTCGAAAGTCTGGATAAGAAACTTTCTTTGTCTTGTTTAGGCGATTTAAAATCTCATTGCTCTTTTTTACTACCCGTATCTTCCGCACCTGTACAGTACAAGTACATATATTATCAATGTTAAGAGAAAGGCAAAGCAATGCATAGTGCCATTAAAGTAATGTAAATCTCAGTTCTTAAACCAGATGGAGGTGAGTGGTTAAATTCACACTCCGACTGTCCCTGACCTCTGAACACTAACCTGAACATACTCCTAACTATGTGAATGATTAAAACAAGCAATTAAGTTTATCATAATAAGAGAATCAGCTCAATAAACGTTCCTTCTTTGATGTACTTGTGGCAGAAGCAACATGATTAACATAAGTGTATACAGAAAACCGACTCATGCCAGGCACTACTTATTCTACACACTCACCAACAGTACAAGACAAGGAGCAGTTAAGTGCTTTCAAGACAGAACAACTACAGTTAAACTTCGATTTTACATTTTTCATGAATTTATGCACGTTTTTTCGTGGTCCCAGCCAAATGCCAGTAACAATAATATTAAACTTTAACAGATTTTATGTTTCTGCAACTTCATATTTTCTTTGAATTTACACTTCATTTTTTCTAGTCCTAGCCATCTGTTCCTCAATATGAGTGTAATTCTTTGGTAAAGTCATCATCTGAAAATTCTTCATCACAGGTGTCTGAACTATCTCCAGGCATGCTACTGTCTTACAGACTGATTGTTATCAGGTACAGGATGATATCATGCAGCTGTTCACTTCTGAAAGTATCTTAAATATGTTCTTTGATCTAAACATGTGACTGTCAAATAGTTTTTGTAATACTGTCAAGGTAAGGTAATGTTATCCCTGTAACTGGCCGTGGAGGCCCATTGGGTTGTGAGAGGGTAAGGTTCACACATCTTCTAGACAACTGGCTCACAAATGGCGGTAAGGTTGTCAGCCTTATGTGCCAGCCGCCCTTTACACCCCAGGGAGATTCCTGGTACTCATAATATTGTCAAGGGCAGTGTTCATTAAAATTTCAGCATCTGAAAGTCTGACTACAGTGTTGGATTTGAAGTGCTTATGGCAGTGACTATGAATAGTATTATTTATATGCTGTAACAGCATGCAGTTTTGCAGAAGTACACTAATGTTTTGGAGGAATGTCTGCTTATTCCTGGTTTCCTACTTGGCACCCTCTCTAACCCTGAAGATGGAGCCAGTATACTCCTCAAAAATGTGGGTGCACTTCTACTGCGCTACATGATGTTACAACCCAGAAGACTGTACTCATCCTGAAGACAGGGTTATACTGGCAGTGATATGGCGGCAGTCTCACAACAGTATAACTGCAAGTGTGAGTTGCATCATCAAGTTCAAGTTCAAGTTCCCCATCAGAAAAAAAACAAGGTTACAACACTATGCTGGGTACAGGTGCAAACTTGCTGGCAGTGCTTCTATCGTGTGGCTTCTGAAAAGATCTGGCTCTTGCTACTTATCAGCAGAACTTTCCTTTGCCTCGTAACTCACAAAAAAACTTCCCTGAGTTGCCAATTATACTGAAAAACACAATATTACTATTTAAGCATCCCCGTTTTAAAATTCAACCATCAGACCATCATATTGGGATTTAAATCCCATGTGATAAAGGTTAATAAAAGGAGAAAGGTGACCAGCAACATTAGATATTACAGTCAGGTATATAACTTCAGTGGGTGTGTGGCCTCTGTTCTCCCGTGCAAAAGGATCTATATATGGTAAAAGTATAATATTTATGCATGATTCATGTGCGTGTTCAGTAATTAGCGTGTCCAGCTATACTCATCTGTTTTTTTTTCAGTTTTCCTTAAATACAGAAGTCCAGTAGAAATAAAATTAATACATACTAACTTTTAACCTTATATTATGAAGATGGTTTGAGAATATTTGTGGATACCAATCTCTACTATCCCTATGATGGCTAAGGTCAGGCAAAAAATATATGTGTACACCGATGCACAATATAAGGTATGTACACTGTTACATGCATCAGCTTAGAACTTCTTCTAAGGCTGGAACACAGGAAGAGAAAAGAGGTGTGATTTAAAGTTCATCACATTCTTGATGAATGGAAATACCCAGCAGCATGCTAGAAACATTCTGAAAGTTAGTTTCTAAAGGTCATGCTATAATAATATGGACACAGCAACATAAAGGTTTATGGCATCACCCCACGGAATCAGTTCTCTTCAAAATATTTTTCTTTTAGTCACAAGGATTAATCTAAAATCAGTTGTGTATGAGCAGTGAGCACTAGAAGACCCTACTTAAAAAAATATATAACTTCAGAAATCTAAGACAATAACTAACACTAGCTCTACCATTTGCAGATAATCTAAAACGTGCCTCCTTTTCTTTGTGGATACCAACTTGGCCAACTTCCATTCCATCTGTCTTCTTGAGGTTTGTCCACATTGTATATATAACATCTACATCATTCATCTTGTTGCCTTGAATGCTATTTGCTTTCACCAACTGGGCTGCATCTTCTAATACTGCTGTGGGTATGTCATCAATCATCTGTCCCTGTTGAACACATGTAAACATGCTGCAAGTAGGAAAACATTAAAGCAACAGATAAAGTGAAAACAAAAAAATTCACAGAAAGCATGACTCCAAGTCATGTATAAAGTGTTCCTAATGAAGGCATTGTAACATGTAGACCCATTGCTAAATAATGACTCTATAAACAATGCCCACTGCTAGGCAACAGACTCCTAACATGCACCAATGTACTAACTGAAAAACAGTGTTTTCTGTTCAGTCCACTAAGCAACAATTGAATTGCAACAGAGGAACCGCGTTCTCGGTGCAGTCTGCTAAACAACAACTGAACAGCAATGGACGAATGGTGTTGTCTGTGCAGTACATGCCAAGATGTTATAAGCAGGTCAATTAGTGGATGTTAGTTCAGTTCAGTGGAGAGAAGTGAAGAGCTGGTTGGTGACTTAGTCAGAGAACTGCAGTTCAGTTGGTGAGCTGCTGCTCTTAGAACCTGGTAGCCGAGGCACAGGGACTGGAACCCAAAGTAAGGTAATGTCTGCTGCTGGAAGCCATTACCAGGCAACTAGTGGCGAAGATACAGCGGCCTGAGAAGACTTAGTGTGTGCTGTGGTGAACTGCAGAGTGGACGAATTAGTGATACAGCTATAGTTACTTGTAGTTACAATCTGTAAGTGGTCATTAAATCCAATTACCAATCCAAACCCAATCTGTAGTCCCTCATACACGTGACAATCAGAATTACTGGGTTTCTGGATTTTGCCTATTCCCTCCGCATTATAAACAGAAACACAATTTCTTGGCCTATGGATCTGTTTCTGATCTCAGGTAAGATTACCTACCAGCTCATAAGGTTCCCATCAGCAGACAATGACACCATATATATACAGTATTTGTAACAATGTCCTTGGACATTACGTAACAGTTTCTTTTTCATATTGGTTTGTGTGCTGTTGTAATGTATTACATAATTTAATAAACACCATTAAATTACATCATAAAACAATATTTACTTACTCAGTACCCCAACAGTTTCAGTTTTCAAACAGTCATCATCAGGGGCGTTCAGTTAACCAATAGTTCAGTACAATCACTCAAGGTTTCCACAAGATTGTCACCTCATCCTAAAAACTTATATTACAACTAACAGAAACAAGTCTTGTAGAGTGTACTGATATGACATATGGACAGCTCAAATTTCAGAGATATTAAAATTCTTACATTTATCATGTGTAATTCATATACCATAATAGTCTTCAGTTCTTGTATATACTATGATGGATGATACACTAGCAAAGATCTGCTTGCTACCTGATTCATGCTGGCTTCTGCATGCCTGAAGATGAAAGCGAACATATTCCTCCGAAACATCACTTGACCTTCAACATACTATATGACATATCCTATAAGACAGAACTGTTCAATGTTGTATTAACCTTCTTCAATTGTCATTACCTCCTGAAGTATGGCAGTTTTTCTGTGAAATATCCTGTATAGCATACAACAAAATCCTGGAGTCAATATTACTGTATTCTGGGATATGGCATTGTGTAGTCTTGTGCAAGTTTATTAACAGTTCATAGGAATCTAATGCTTCCATCTTCAGGGTTGAATAGGCCAAGCAACCAGCTAACTCCTTGACACTAAATATGGGGGCAGTATGAGCCTCTGAAATGTTGATAAGCTTCTACCAGACTAAACAGCATCACATCCCAGACATTAGCACTCTTCATAGTCACTGCCATGAGAACCTCAAACCTAAAATCCTGGTTTTTAATGATGAAGTCACCAATGTGAAAGATAAACATACAAGTCATCTATGAGCTATTCCATCATAAAGTACCCCTTTCTGTCAACCATACAACATTTGTTTCTTCAAGCAAGTCAAAACCTTTAACTGAAGAAACTGCAAAAAGCCACGTTCCTCTATTAGAATAGGGATGGGTAATAAAAAGGTGATGAAATTAAAAAATATTAATTGATCCATAGTTATTAGCTCTGATATTTAATATGATTACATATGGATGGTTTGCTTCAAAATTAGTAATAGCGAGAAGTCTACTTCCCTGGCAATTTAAGAAAGATGAATTGCAACTGGGAAAATTTACAGTCCATAAAAAGTGTTTGGTGTTGAAATTACTTGTTTTGGTTGCTTTCAAATGTAGCACCCTAAAACATGTTTGCATTTGCTCACTGTGTTGATGAAGAAAACAATTAGTATGTACGGAATAATTATGCAATGCATGAGCTCTGTCCTTAACATGGGCATTCCAGGAGGGAACAATGACCATGACAACAATGATGATAATGGCAGCAGCAGCAGCAAACATGCCAATACAACATTTGCCAGAAAACTGCATCATCAGTCTGCTCACTGGTAATGTGCAGAGCAAAATGTATTCACACTTCAAAAATCTAAGTTAGTGACATAGACATAATGTTTCGGTACATGCTTTTTGATTAATATAAAGAATGAATTATTCAAATAAATTTATACATCTCTCTTGTTATTTGTAAGGTGTTAAATAAATTGGTATATTTCACCTGTCCATCATTTATATCATATGAAGATGCTGCACAAATAACAAATCCAGATATGTGATTTGTGAAAGTTTTTAAATGTTTGCTGATGTAAAATATTATCCCCTCAGGTACCAGGCCTTTATATCTCACAAGCCATCTTATATTTTAGCTATACCAATGGGAAAATATTTAAAACCTGCAGAAGGAAAAAGACATGCGCCTTTATTTGAAGTCTTCTTCCATTTTACCTCAGTTTTATTGAAATCTCAGACCCAAATCTGATTCCCTCTCTTTGTGAGTAAAATGATGAAAATCCCCTCAAGACAGCCAGTCTCTGGGCCAAGATTTGAGATTGGAATCTCACAAGTACAAAGCAGCAGTGTGACTGCAACATTCAATCCTCATTTTTCAATCATATTTGTTTTACACATAAAATCATTTTCACATCAGTCACCATCTCCAAAAAGATCAGAAGAGAAATGTGGGTACAAAATTAATCAACCAAAGAACACAATAAATGACAGTGTAATAAAATAATATTTTTAAGATTAGGGAATGCACCAAAACCAGTCATTAAAGGGGTATTTCCTGATAGAAGTGAAGTGAGTTAGTTAATATATGAACAATACGTTTATTTTAGTATGCCCTGTAAAGGTGTACATCATGCTGAAGAGACCCTACAAACTACAAAAGTCAACATCCTTAGCAGTTACATTAACAAAAAACATCAGCGGACAGAGTGTACTTCAGTTAGAATTATACGTGTCTTATTTGTTATACATTCTATTAATCACAAAGTTAATCAACAGCACACATTGTGTGTTCATTAATTTAGTTAGCTGTATTTCATTAAATCCTGCATTATACAGATCTTCACCAACCATGTATTCAATGTTAATGGTGTACACTGAATGCATTCATTAACACTGAATGCACTCTATTAACACATTATATAAGAAATTAATAGCATTGATCATAAACTTGTTCTGGAAAGTATGATGATCCAGCAGGGAAGTTAAATCTTCCTGTACATATGACAATGACATTAATGCTGACAATCAACTGAACAAGAGCATGCCAAATAACAGCCATGTGCTGTCTAGTGCATCCTCTATAAGCCTTTGCCCCCACTTGATTGGACCTCTACCATCACCTTATGTCCCCTATGAGTGATTCATCTGCTAGTGCCTCTGCCCCAGATCTGATAGCCAGATCTCACAAGTTAAGTTACAGCAACAACAAAATACTGCATCTGCAATCATGGAATAGACCAACAAGCAACATTCTGCTTTGTCACCATTCTGCTGTTTTCCAGAGTAGCAGTCATGTTTTAAATGCCTTCCCAAAAATTTTTCATGGGCAGGGAAGGTGAATTGAGCATTAGACTTGATCTGCACAGGTCCGTGCCTAACAATGACACATCTTCTGTCATCAGCAGTGTGCTCTGACCAAGTGGCTGGTTCAGAAATACTAATGATTCACTGCACTCACAAGGACTACATATCTCAGTGTCACCCTTTTGAAAAAATATGTATCACTGCTGCCAGCCTCACCGTATGTCACAGAGGCTGATGCACAAACACGTGTTTCCTCCTCAGAAGAAAAAAAAACCCTCACATAACACTCTCTACTACCTCCTGAATTCATCATTTTTCTTGTTTTTCTTTACCTTCATTGTATCCAACTTATATTTTCTAAACCTCAACATTACAGCACTGACACGCTACACATGCACACCATAGATGTCACAAAAATACTTTAAATCGTAAAACTGATTACAGAATGTCAAAACAAACAAACTTTAAATCTGCAGACTGACAAAGTTGTGAAAGAAAACATATCACAACCTCTACACCTCCGGTGATCTTACCATAAACCATATTGTTAGTTCAATTTCTTTGCTGGGATTAAAATAACTACCTTTGCCAGTGGCGGGCACGCGGTAGCGTAGTTGGTTAAGGTACTAGCTACAAGCTGGAAGGTCACGGGTTCAAGACCCGATGAAGTCAGTGGATTTTTTTCAATTGACCTAATCCTTCCAGCCACACTATGGTCCTGGGGTAGACTCAGCCTCTAACAGAAATGAGTACCAGGAATTAATTAAATAATTTTCCTGGGGAGTAAAGCGCGGCCGGCACATAAGGCTGACAACTTTATCGCCATCTTTCAGCCGATTGTCTAGATAATGTGGGACCCTCAACGTCTCACAACCCTATGGGCCTTCACGGCCTGATACAGGGACAGCTTTACTTTTACTTTACCTTTGCCAGTGACTACTGATATGTATTGTCACAGGGATGTATTCTACTTAACAGTCTGCAGATATGCAGGGACCAGCTGTAACTGTGCACTGTGTATTGCTTCAAATTTTCTCACTGTGTTCTTGTGGTCAGTCTTATTGCGGAGAAAATCACACTCAAGTTAAAATCTATGTAACATGACACAAGACACATGGTGAAGACAATCTTGTAAGTACATTTTTTTCATAAATAGAAACACAG